GAAATAATTGAAAAAATAAATAACAATGCTTTAATTTGAAGACAAATATTTTATTGAAATTTGCAGATTCTATTGTACAGTATATACATTTATAAATTTACACAAACACTTACAATAGAGTGTTTTGGTGAGCAAAAAGTAAGCTAACGTAAGGAAAATTTTCACTATTTTTTAAAAAAGAAGAGGGAAAAGGAGTAATAATAAAAAAAATTTGATCCCTGCCCTAACCCAAACCCTTGAATATGTTATTAACTCCCTTGCGGGTTTCCCCTAAATCAGTTGATGTATGGGTTTTTTTTTGTCCATACGGAATCGCGTCGGGCCGCGATTCCGTATGGACAAAAACGATGGCGACCCAATGTCGGCAGTTAAGCTAGGCCCTATGATTAAAATAAGTTACAAATTTAACTTTGTGTGTTAAGATTTGCATCGGCTAGCCGATGCAAATCTTAACACACAAATTTAAATCGGAAAAATCACACAAATTTAAATCGGAAAAAAAGGATTGACCAACTATAGTATATATAAAACAAAAATATAAAACAAAAATATATATTTCTTTTAGATAAATTTTTCTGAATCAGTTGAAACATCAAATAAATTGGATCGGGTGAAATTCCATCGTTTTTTAAACTGACAATTCACTGTGTACAGCATTTTAAAAAAAAGTATAAAACTAAATTTTCACATATGAATTAGAGCAATATAACTGATATGAATGAATAATTGCAATAAGAAAACTAATAACTTTATTTAAGGTGAAATTGATGTTATAAGCAGTATGTAAATACATTGTCTTACTTGATGTGTTGTATACAAATTTATAGACTGAAAATTGACTGGCTGACCAGACTGGAAGTGTATAGACTTTTTAAATCAGAATGTGCACCGTCGAAATCATTTGTATCTTTGGAATTGTTAAATTCGTTGCATTCAACAGCCTCTAAAAAAATTATATAATTTTATATTTAAAATTATATTATATATATATATATATATATATATATATATATATATATATATATATATATATATATATATATATATATATATATATATATATATATATATATATATATATATATATATATATATATATATATATATATATATATATATATATATAGAGACACACGCGCACATACTAATAAACTTATCCAGGCTTTTAGAATCAAGATATGCATCACCAAAATCAACAGCCCTAAAAATTATATATTAATAAAAATATGAATATAATATAAAATATTGAGAAATAGGAATAAAATATATAATATTGACATAGAAACAGTATAACACCTTCATTATAATAATTAAAAAAAAAAAGAGTCATGCAAAAATACTATAACATAACATTATTATCATAATAGAAATTATTACTGTAAAGTTAGGTCAGGTTATCCTTACGTCAAGTCAGGTTATCCTACTACTGGTAACATGTAATCCAGTACAACTTGCTTCATGTTAACATCAGGAAAGGCATCCGGTTGTAAAACATTGCTTCAAATCTTTCATAATGGCATTTATGTCGGAGAAAACTAAACTGAAAAAATATATAAAATTTATTAATAAACAAATTATTAATAAAGATAAACTGATATTGTTAAACAATATTATCTTACCAAGCAAAATTATTAACTTTCCTATGCATTAAAAAATGTTGATAAATCAAAATTAGGATTTTAATTAAAACTAATACATTCCGTTTTTTATTACAATGCATCATTAAAATAAAAAACCAAACCAAATGGGCTGAACGTCAGTTGAATGTCTGTTAGCCTATTAGTTAGCTAATAGACATATAACCAACGTTCAGCCAAGATTGTTTTAATCATAAGAGTGTAGCCGATGTTACGAGCTTGGTTGCCGATATCGATGCAAACAAAAAACTAAAATATATATAAAACACAAATATAAATCAAAACTAAATATATTTCTAAAATAAATTAATCTAAATCTGTCGAATCATCAAATAAATTGGATCGGCTAAACATCCGATATTTTCTGTGCACTAGTCTTTATAATTCACTTTGAGCACCATCTAAAAAGTGCATGTAATTTGTGCACCATCTAAAAAATAGTATAAAATTTTTAATGAGGGTGAAATAATTGTTATTGATGGTGGAATTAATAAAGCGTATATAGCTCAAGACAATATAGACTTCAAGTGGCAAGTGTATACCTTTTTATACTATTACTAATTAAATAAAAAGTTACTCTGGCATTTTGGATCAGGATGTGCACTGTCGCAATTATTTGTATCTACGGCGTTCATTTTCTTGTATTCAACAGCCCCTATAAAAATTATATATGTATATATATATATATATATATATATATATATATATATATATATATATATATATATATATATATATATATATATATATATATATATATATATATACAGGGGCGGGTTTAGGGTTAGTCTTGTTAGGCGCATTGACTAACATCTTTTTTACTAAACTAAACAACGATCAGGCTAATGAAATATGTTATAAACTTTTGAGATTTTTGAAATTAAATAAAATCTTAATTTTTTTGGTCTAAACAGCGATAGCAATTAAACTATGATAAGTATATGCGCACGCAATAGCCACGTCTTGTAATTTTTTTTTTCGGTAGCGTAACTTCGGACCAAGTTAGTCAAGAAATCTTGCGACTTATCTGGGTCGTTTATTCGGCTGACGAGTTTTGAAAAAATTATTGAAGTCCTTTAAATTTTTTTTATTTTTACCTATAGCTGATCAATATATATATATATATATATATATATATATATATATATATATATATATATATATATATATATATATATATATATATATATATATATATATATATATATATATATATATATAGTTACTTTGGCATTTTGGACCATGATTTGCACTGTACAAAGCATTTGCATCCTTAGCATTGCTCAACTCCATGCATTCAACAGACCCTATAAAAATTATATAAATATAATTTTTGTATATATATATATATATATATATATATATATATATATATATATATATATATATACATATATATGTATATATATAAAATCTATAACTTATCTAACAAAGACTTACTTTTAAAATATTTTAGATTAGATTCCATAGCATCTTTTTTACCCATGGTTGTTTGTTTTGATCTATCACATTCAAAAGCCTCAAAATAAATTGGTTTTATATAAGACCCCTTTGTTATATATAGATTTATTTTTTAATTATGGTTTTAAATTAACTATTGTAAAAACAATATATAAAAAATAATTATACTTGAAGTATCTTTAGGATTTTGCCTAGGAGTCCTGCCACCATTCTTATCCTTAGCATTATGCAAAAATTGTATGATACGCAACTCAACAACACTACGAGTTACATTCGGAAACTTAGTCAAAATACAGTCCTTTAGAAATTTTTCCAACTTCACTGGAAATTTTAATTTTCCATTTTTCCCACAACGATTAATTTGTTTAGCCAAATCAATCGATAAAAGAAGGTTTAGCAAACGCTCACAATGATCAGTGGCATCACGACCACCCTCTTGAAGTAGCCACTGAAATATTTCTTCAGTAAAAAAACAATGTCTGCATTCGCTAGATCATCAGGTGTACAAAATAAAGGAATTTTTCTGTGTACACTTTCAAATGATGGTGTTGCAATCAGAGTTGAGTTAGGCAAGCCGTACATCCGTTGTGAAATAATAGCTAATTTTTGCAAAATGACATTGAGCTCATTGAGCTTTGCATGAGTACTATTTGCTCGTGTTTTTTTTTTGGACCAACTGAAACTGATGCTGACACTTTGCCTTTCAAAGATTGACAAGAATTTGAAATGTTAGGAGGTGAAATTTGTGATTGGTTTTTATCAACATGTTGCTTAGAAGAAATAGGGGAAGATATATGCATTGGAATTAAAGGTGGAAAACAAAGTGGAGATAGCGGCTCAGATGATAAAAACATGCATCAAACGGTTAGTCTTTCCATACAGCTAGAACACGATCAACATGATCAATAGGGAACAAATTCCAATCGTCAATTGAGTAGTCTTCATAGTCTAAGAGCATGATGTCTTTTTCATTTACTATGAATATTTTCTTTTTCTATATCCACATATCATCAAAATATACTATGTATTTCATCTTATCATAACCGAATTTTACATACGCGTAGAGCTGTTTTGGTTAAGCTCATAAATCAAGTTATATTGTAAGGTAAGGAAATCACGAGTAGACTACAAACATCCGCTGATGACACTAATATTACGTTGAATATATTTATATAACGGAGGTTTCATTATGCATGCGCACATTACAGATTCTGTTAAATAAATACTAAGGCACGTTTTAGTTTAATGACAGTTCTTATTTTTTACTAATGAATATGTATTTTTCTTTATAAAACAAAACAAACTAGTATAAAAAAACCTTGTATATTCCTATTCTCTCTAAATTGTTTAAAGTTCGAATATAGATTGTATTTTGAAGGACAAAAGATTTACTTTAAAAACTTTTAAATCTTGGAACTTTGCCGATACGATGAACACAGAAAAAGAGAAGACTTACGTTATTAAAATCAAATGTAAGTTATGTGATCTTCATCAAAATAAAATATTATCCAAAAACAATGGTGCCGTAAGGGCAGCTGCCCAATAGACACCAGCAATTTCTGGAAATTTATCACTTCAAGCTGGAGTAATTACCTTATAAAAAAAAAGGAATTTTGGCGAAAAAAGTAACTTTTAAAGTTGAGTAGAAGCTATCTTATTTTAAAAATAAGCATTAAAATTCCAACTTAAAAGATTTCTTATAAATCGCCATTTTTATTGGATATATCGGGGTGTTCACTCCGCTAGATAAACTGAAAGAACTAGAAAGGACTGTTTTGAAAGGCAAACTAAAAAAACTAAAAAATATATTTTTTGTGCATAATTGATTCAATAATTATAAAAAATACATTTTTCAGTTATTCAACTGTGTTTTTTAAAAATAGTTTTGTTCATTTTTTTAAGTTTGTTTTGAGGTGACACCCTGTTTATTATGACATCCGGCCTTAAAGAAATGTAAACAAACCAAAAAGTAGAGTATCAAATTGTAGATTGAACCTTGCGAAAGCGTTTTACTGTTATTTTTAAGGAGTTATAAAATCTTTAATATATATTAACTATATTATCAAGCTTAATTTATTACATTAATAAAAAAAAATGCCTCCTGTAAAAAGAACTAGACGGTGTAATTTATATGGTGGTAGCCCTTCTGATCTTCCTATTACAGATCTAGCAACTTATGGTGATGTACCAAGATTTTTCTACAAATTAAAAGATTTAGATGGTATTAAAGACAAAAATATTATTATTCAAAGAACGCTTTTTAGTTTAAAAGAAATATGGTTCAATTGCAATTCCAAATTAGTTTTGTTACCTGAAAAAAGTTTGATTGTTAAACTTTTAAGATTTTATAATAATGTTATTTCTTGGAATGGAAATAAAATTAAACCTTTGACCAAAAAATTGTTGGAAAAAAATAAAGAAAAACTTTTTGATCTGCTAGCATGTAACTGCAAGCTTGAAGTTCTTCCTTGTGATGACAGGAATATCAAATGCTCAGGTTGTTCAAATGTGCATCTTTACTGTAGTTGTGTTGGTAGTAAAAAAGTAAGTTATACAAATTTAAAGTAATTTATTTTAAATTAAACTTTAAATAAATTATTTAATTTTATTGATAAACTTTTTTATATTTTATTATTATTTTTTATATTTTTAGATAATAAAACATTTTAAACAAATTAATTGAAGATAATATTTAAAACCAGAAATAATTATTTAGGTTCCTTTGGAAGAGCGCTCCTATATAAAAGACCAAAGGGAGAAAATTGGTACTAAAGGAAAGTTTCAAATAGGAGGTATTGATAACTCTGTTTTATCACCTACTTCAAGAAAAACAAAGCAAACAAAAGCTTCTGATGAAGAAATTTATATTAAAGAGTTTGACACAATCATGGAGTCAGATCAGGTAATAAATTGTGACCTGTAAACTTTGATTGTATGATAAAAACTATATATATTCTTAAATTTCTTAATTCTTTTAAATATAATGCTCTAAAGTTAATTAGAGCATCTTAAATGTTAATACAATTAAATGTAACACTTTCATTGTTATGATTTTTAATTTCTAGAAGTTTTGTTGTATTTTTTTCTATAATTACAGAGTGAAACTTCAATTTCATCATTAAATCAGACTGGATCAAAGAACTATAACACTACCCACTATTCCAAATTTGCTTTAGAGGTAATTAGATATGGAATATCAGATGAAGCAGCTGCCGCTGTAGCTAATGCTCTACTTCAAGATATTGGTTATCTACATCTAAATGATGTAATTGATCCAAGTAAAATGAAAAGAGAGAAAGAACGAGTATGCTTTAATGCTAGTTTTGAGCAATCTAAAGTTTCAAATATAAAGGCAATTGGTTTGGATAGCAAACGTAATAAAAACTCATTGGTTTATGAACAGAAAGATATTGACAGTGAAATAAATCTTTGTAAATCTACTAGCACTGTAGACCACTTGACATTCACAATTGAATCAGGTAAAGCCCAATGTTATCTCTTTTGTCTCTGTATTTTTTTTTTTTTTTTTTATTTTTTTTTTTACTAATAAAAATGTTTTAATTTGAGTAAGGCGAGTTGCAAGGTCAATATCTAAAACACATAGATGTACCTAAAGAAAAAGGTAAAGGAAAAGATCTTGCTGAATTTACCTGTAATGTTCTCAAGAAGTTTAAGAGTGATAAAAGTATCTAGGCAATAATTTTGGAAAATACAAGTGTTAATACAGGTATATTTTTTCTTCAAAAATGCCTGTCTGAAAAATAAAAAAAGATAACACATAAATCTTTATTTGAGTCATATATTTTCATATTACTATATCATTTTAAGTAAAGATAATGGTTTAGTTGCTTGTCTTGAAAGAATATTGAAAAGAAGAATTCATTTAATTGGCTGTCTTCTAGATGTTAACGAGTTACCATTGCGTCATTTAATTTCTAAACTTGATGGTTCTTCTAATAGCTCAAATAATTATTCGGGTAATCTAAATAATAATATTATTTTACATTCTTGGTGATAATATTATTATTTAGATTACCCGATTATTATTTAGCAACATTATTAAAATTTATAGAAATTCTATTTTTTACTTAAGAGTTTTATTGCTGCTTTACTTTATTCTGATAAGCATAAATATAAATTATTATTTTTAGTAAAAAGTTATAACTATTAATATTAATATACTTGATCAAATAATAATAATAATAATATTTTAAAGGACCAGTTGGAAAATCTTTGACAAATCCAATTCATTTAAATTTAACTGTTGACTTCATACAAGTTGAGACAGACATTGAATATCCTCCTCTGTGTGTCATTAAAGACCTCTCTGCTGACCAGAGTATGCTACTGGAATATAGTATTAGAATTTCTAGAGGGTTTTCAGACAATAAGTATCTGAGAAAAAAAATAGGTGTGTTGTTTTGTAAATCATTTGTTCCTAATATTTTTCCTTTTATTTTGTTTGTTTGAAGTTTATGTAAATATATATTTATTAATATATAATTTACTATTAAATTATACTATTAATTAATTTTTATATATAAAATATTATATTTTTAGACCCTATTTGTCATGCAAGGTGGCTGACAACAGCAGTACGGATCTTGGCACTATACACAAGAACAATCAATCCCAGTAGAGAGCTCAAAATCTTTGTTGAATATATTCAAACAGTATATACTCCTATGTGGTTTAATATTAAAAAGTCTAAGAGTTTCACAGAGGGTCCTAAACTTATTTTCCAATTTATTCAGCGGATTTTGAGGTTGGATACTGAAGTTCAAAATATTACATTGCCCATAATTTATAGAAACTCTTTTTGTCTCCAACCTGAAAATTTTATTGCTGCTCTACTTTATTCTGAAGAACAGGTTTATAGAACAATTGCTGTTGTTAAGATTTTGGAAACAAGAAAAACTCTAATTAAGGATCCTAAAAATGGAATAAAAGATGGTATTAGGGTTAATGCCATTCCAATTATTGATTGTAGATGTAAAAACTGGTCAAAATTAATAAATCTGTATGATATAGAGTGTTTTGAGCCCCCTTGTGTGGAAGATATATCAAATGAGGAGCTTTTGAATATGATACCGAATCAGGGAAAGGCTCCCAACTTTCCGTGCCACTTGCAAACGGTCGAAAGAGCAGTGAAAATGACTTCTGATGCTAGCGGAAAATTTATTAACCTCAAGAAAAGAAATGCTTATATTCTAGCTAAATGCCAAAGTCAAAAGAAACGAAAATATTTTAGAACAAAGAAAGATTATACATTGTAATTTGTTATCATTTCTTAAAATTAATCTATTTGGTAATATGTTCGTTTATTATTATTATTAGTTTGGTTCAGCAGTAAAAGTATAATATATTTAGTAGTAGTCAAAAGGGGCATTAATAAAATCTTTTTTTTTTTGGGGTAAGTGGGGGGGGGGAGAGTCACCACCCGTAAAAATACTTCTTTAGCTTCTGTATATTAGAGTAAATCCTAATAAAAAGTGCTGCAACAACATAACATTGTTGTTTATGTTTAAATCCGTTTTTCAGTTAATGGCTAATGATTATTGAAAACCGCTTATTGTTTTAGTTATTTTTCCAATACCCTAAAAACAACCTTAAAAATTTAAGTTAAAATTATTTATACAACTTATCCTTATAAAGAATACATTTATAAAAGTTTTTGTGCGTTAACGTTTCAAATATTTATTGTGTGACCTCTTTTTTTTTTTTACTTTTTAATGATAATATATGATAAATATAAGACCAAATAAGATAGAATCGGAAATACTTGAAGCTTTTATATTTTGCCCATAATGTTTTTATGGTCTAAAGAAGGTACTCCAGCTTGAAGTAACTGCAATTTCGAAAAAAAGTTAAAAATTACTGGTGTCTAATATATACTCGTTGAATATAACCTAGCCGATAAAACAGTCGGCCCAAGCTCGGCCTAAAAATGACTTTAACATAAAAAAATATAAAATAAAATAATATCTTTCTTTTACATAAATTATTCATAATCATTTAAATCATCAAATAAATTGGATAGGGTGAACTTCAAACGTTTTTTATGAACTGACAATTTACTATTTGCAGGATCTAAAAAAGTATATATTTTTAATATATAATTTATTGTAATATAATATACACATTTATTTTTTTAAATCATTTTTAATCCAACTAAAATCACAAACTCGCAATTTAAATGTTTAATTGTTATTAAAGCAAATCCCTGTTTACCTAGTATATTGATATTATTTTTATAATTGCAAGTTAGGTTAAAGGTTTAAGTTAAAAAAACAATATTAAATAATAACATCAATATACTAGGTAAGCAGTAATTTATTTTAAAATATAAAAAAATTAAATTCATTTAAGACTTAAATGATATACAGATTTGGATTGAAATAACAAATTATAAATAAATAATAAACAAATTATTAATAAATATAAATTGATATTGTTAAACAATATTATCTTACCAAGCAAAATTATTAACTTTTTTATGCATTAAAAAAGTTAATAATTTTTCGTCGGCTAACAGACATATAACCGACGTTCAGCCGATACTGTTTTATTCACAACAGTGTAGCCGATGGTTAACCGATGTTAAGAGCTCGGCCGGAGCTAGGCCCGACGTCGGCTTTAACACAGGGTATATATTAAAGAAATCTATTTGTAGTTCTTAATGATATATATAAATGTTCAATTCAATGTTAAATTTTTGTTGTTCTCTCAACGCATTTTCATTCATTAGTTTCTATCTGCGTTTTTTATAATAGGCTCATGAAAGTTAGTTAAAATTCCACAAACTGTAACAATTTGATTGAGAGAACCAATCATGTTTAGAGGAATAACTCTATCAAATATATGAAAACATTTTAGTCTTTGAATCATTCTCTCAACATGAATGCGCTCACTTGCAATTTGCTGACTTTGTATCACCTCTGTTTCAGTGAATTGTTCGCGACTTCGAAGAAACGATGAAATAATTAATTTAACTCCGAGTGGACTTGAATAATCTTGTATAGTAAAACCTCTAACTGCCATAACTTCTTCACCGTCACCATTGTAGTTATGAAAGTACAAAATGAATCTGCATTCCAGCCTCCAGTTTTCATAAGCAAGCATTCCCATTGTTGAAACAGCACAAATTTAACTAACATGCTTACCACGATTTACAGGTGACTGTAAAATTGCTGGCGAACCTCTTACCAAACAACCATATGTGCTTTTAGTGTGCACATTAAATCCAGTTTCATCCTAATAAATAAGTTTTTCACCTGAAGTTCCGTTTATTTTGCTTGCAAATGCATAGCGTGCATTTGCAAGCGATTTTTTTTTGTTGCTTCTTGCGTACAAAGATTGTTTTCTTGTACGCATAATTCGATAATATTTTTTATTTGAGAGTTTATAGGTCTTTTACCTCGTTTTTTATTAGAAAACGACTTGAATGCAGTCATGTCGTCGAATTATCCTCCTTATCCTTCGAATAATTAAGAGAGGTGGAAATGCTTGTTGTAGATTGATTTTTTTCAATTAAATGTTTAAGCATTTCAATGTGCTCTTTTGTAACATTTTTCCTTGTTTTACGATTGGTACTGCTATTTTCTATTCCATCCATAGGGATGTATAACTTGATAATAATAATAATTATAAATAATTAAATTTAAATCTAGATGAATGAATAATTAGATAAATAATAACATAATCAATCAAGAAATTTAATAATAAAATTACAAAGAACTAATACTAAATTAAATAAACCATCATCGAAAACAAAGAGCTAATACTAAATTAAATAAACCATCATCGAATGATGTTTATATTCCAAAGTAATCCAAAGAAATGCATACTTTACTCACCCAGAAAACTTATTAATATCAATGGCAACCGATGAAAGGCCCCACATTCGTTAATTAACATTAAGACTGTATTGGCTGCAAGATCGATATCCGACAAGACCGATGCTAAATCTACAGTTAAATTGTTCAAGATACCACCGCTAAACTTTGAAGCAACATATTATACAGACATAATCAACTGGTCATGAACCTCTAATGCTCAGATCAATTGAATCGACTCAGCTTAAAAACAGCATTCTGACCTCAGAAATGCTACAATTTAAAAGCTTTCCATGCCACACTCAGTCTGTAGAAAGAAGCGTGAAGCTAGTCACTAAAGCCAGTATTGTAGTCTGTGAACCTCAGCGTGATGATTTTATTCGTGCAAGAATAGAGTCGCGATCAGCTGTGAAAATCTTTAACATGACGTTCTTGAAATGATTAACTGACAGAAAATAAACTTGAAATAGTTGTTATTCTTAATTTTTGTGGCACCTCAAAGTTCTACAATTTACATAAATATATTTTCATTAGGTTCTGATATGATGTTAAAACCATCATACATGTTTATTATAATAGAAATCGAAAAACAAGATCAGTTTATTTTTAGCCATTGATTTTTTTGTGAAAATATGAATTTAATAATAATTGTAATTTCTAACTTTTTGGGGATTTTTGGTGATTTCAAAGTCCTTGTGGCACCTCAAAATAATTTACCAGAGCATTGAAATTTTTACAGAGTATTTCTGATATGAATAGACAAATTTTGCACACCCAGGCAAAATAAATTTCAAAAAAAATTTTTTTTTTAATGTTATTGCTGCATCCTACTGAGCAACATTGACGCTAGATATCTTTTAAGGTCCTCACCAATAACTAGCATCTTTTTCAAGTATTTTTAAAGCTATTGTGAACGATTTTAAACAGACTAAAATATTTTGAAGGAAGTGACCTCGTCCAAATTACTTGAATTTTTTATATATTGATCAGAATATAGAGAAAACCTGTTCGGGAAAAAAAAAATTTTCAAAAATGTTTCGTTCACTCGGAATCTGGGCTTAAATTTTTGAGATTTTTTTAAAAATTTTTAGAAATTTAGTTTTTGCCACCTTTGAACTCATTTTTTTGGCAAGGCAAAAAATTGCACATAGCTTTTGTAGTTAATATCAGACGTAACCCAAAAGCTCTCTCCAAAAAATATAAAAAAGTTGCGTGACACTGTGCGGTTGGCTAATTATCATAGTTCAAAAGTACAAAATCAATCAGTTTTGTCAATTTTTAATCGGAGTTAATTCTAGCGGCGAAGTGTTGCACACAATTTTTCTTTTAGGATTTGAAATTATCAAAGGTATTGAGTCTAAAGATGCAAAGAAAGTTATGTGATACCTAAGGCCTATTAATATATTAAGGATTGAAATTGAAAAAAAATGTTTTAGTATACTTAAAAAATGAACCATTACGGCAGAGGCGCTTAATTTTGTAAAAATGTAAACATATCCAACTGTCAATACAAAAAGGTCCTAACATAATAATAAAAAAAATTCGTGTGATTTTGTCACACGCATGATATAACATGAATTAAAAACTGAACAAAAATCTAACATCAAGATAACTATATTGCTAATTAAATAAAACATAAATCAAACATTTAAATGTTTTTCCATTTAAAAATTAGTTTTTCATTTATTAATAGAGTCATTTACACACATTATCCACCACATCACACATCATTTCTACTCTGCTGCAGTAAGTTTCTCTAAGAATAATGATATGACTGTATTATAGTCTTCTTCGGATAATGAATAATCGCCACAACCACTGATTAGAAAAGGAGCATTTACTAAACAGATAATTTTATCAGTTTGGTTATTTATCTCCTCGGTAGTAACTGGCCAGCAAAAAGTATTCTTCTCTTGCCCGTTAATCATATAATTAACTCTGATCCCAGTTATAGATACCTAAAAGTATTAGCGCAACATCTTCTATATAATATTGCCGAACTTAATAGTTTTAATAGTAGTAGTAGTGTCCCTTGGAGCGTATTTGACACGAAACCCTTGGCAGCCATTGCAACCGATGTATTGGCAAGAAAGAGTCGCAGCGCTATAAGAAAACGTGAACGAACATCTAACGTACGTAAACTTTAACTTATGTAATGTTAAAGCATATGTTAAAACATACTGAAACATTTATCACGTTTTACAGTTTGATTTTTACTTGAAAATTACATTGCGTCAACCTCTCCTTAATTTTGATCTAACATTTTTTCCTCAAAAAAATTACTAGATTATTATAAAATCTACACTTGATGATACGCTGGTGTAGCTCGAGTGGATAACGCGGCGAAGTTCTGAACAAGGAACTAGAGGTTCGACTCCTACCAAAGACGGCTATTTTTTTAAATTTTTTTAATTATTTTAAAATACAAAATACTTTCGAAG